GGGGGGGGTGTGTTTAAAATATAAAATTTAAAAATGCACAGGCATTAAAAAAGCACCATAACAAATTATTTTTACTGTCATTAAAATACTGCAAATAATGGTTCATAAGGATCCTTCTGAGCATATTATTAAGGCTACATAAATAGCATTTACTTTGGATGGGTTTGTTTCTCCCTCTTCAGTCCTTTTCACAGTGAAATTAACTTTCAAATCCCAGCCAATTTCCCCAGCTACCAAAAAGATAAATTTAAGATGAAACTCAGAAATAAAAAGCCACCTCCCCCTCCCCAAACATTCACCCTGTAGAGCAAATTATGAAAAACAAGCCATTGACAAAAAGCTGAGCAGATGCTCCCTGCTTGCAGTCCTTCCTCGGCAATGTGAAATAAACCCAACAGATGCCTCTCTTAATTGAGCACATGGATTACATACACACATGCACTCTGTCCTGCTTAAAACAAAACACACACAAAAATCAAACAGGAAAATAGACAGAGAACTCTTCCCAAAGCCTAGGCAAGGAGGAATGCTAAGACCAAAAAAGACACAGCTCTTCCTGCTCAAAACATGACAGGAAATTGTATCCATAGATAGAAGGGAGTTGAAATCCATTAAAACCCACGGACCTGATTATATAGATCCCATGGGGTAAATCAGGTACAACACATGCCTTTGTGTATCCACACAGGAGAGAGGAAAAGAAAAAAAAAAGCATCTTCTTACAAGGAAATCTGTGAATATTTACTGAAGGCAATACTGTGCAATGCAGTACCAGAATAGATCACAGATCCTATACAGGAAAAACAGTAGTGGTGTCTGCTTCCACACAGGAGGAGATGGAAAGCATATGTGAATCTATGCACGTGTCCACGTCCCCAAGTCCTTGCCAAAGAAACTACAAGCAAATTAGCTGAACACATCATATGACCCGGATTTAACCTACAGTTTTGGCCAAAAATTTCCTTACCAAGGACCACTGTGCACACCAGCACACTGCTCACCAGCCTGGCTCCCCCCAGGTGAGCACATCTGTGAGCCACTGTGTGTGAATTCACTTGGAGGAGCTCTGAGATCCTTCTGGGCTATAAAGACTTAACCTGAATTTCAGGGGTTCCTCTTGAGGACCAAAGATTATGTCAGGACCACAAATGTACTGATAAACAGTGCTTTTTCTCTTAACAAACTTACAGAATTCTCAAACCCAATTGTACAATTCACTTCTTTCAGCATAATTTGCCATAACTACAGTAGGATTACAGATTTGGCTCAAGGACTGGACCTAAACTTGACTCTCAGTTTTAAGACTGCACAAGCTCACTTAAAAGCCATTGGGACAAAACAACAATTTTAAGAATGGACTCCTGCCTCTGAGAAACTTTTTCATGTTTCCTTGTATTAGCACCTGATAAAAGCTATTCCAAGCCATACAGAGCCATTCAGTCCAAGTGATTGCAGAGCTGGAGTGAGTGAGAGGGGTGCTGCTTCGTGCAGTGCTTTGCCTGAGTTGTTCCATGTTCCGCTCCAACCCTTTACCAGTTGCTCTTTAAAGACTCAGCTGATGAGGTGAGACAGATGCAGGGATATACCAGTAGCTATAGCACCCACTGGTGCTGACACAACATGCAGCAGAACACAGCACAGGGCACGGAGTTCACTTAGCTTAGTGTAGATGAGCAATGCTTTTTGAGATTAGGGTCGATATAGGATATGCCTAAAATTATGCACAATACTTGTTCAGCAACAGCTTTTGGACTTGAAAGAACTTCTGAGAAAGCCAAAATTGGTTATTGTCCAATTGCAGCTATCTAGTCCAACAGATGAAACCATCTCTGTAGAAATACATATTAAGTATTTTCATTACTCCTCAGTCTTTTTTCATTAATTCATGCTAAAATGAGAAAGGTACAGTAGGTCACTAACAAGTCTGCGCTGTAGTGGTTTAAGTAACAGTTACATATCTATGTTTGCTTGTCATTCCCTTATCTCACATACCTGACCCATAAATACACGTTGGTTTTATGCAGCAGATAATGACACTCCCAGCACATTTTGCTCTCAATCCAAACTCCAGTTGTGGAGAATTGACATAACTCAGTGGCCCTCTGCTGCACTTTAGTATTTTCACAACTTCAGTTTTACAGCCCCCCATCAAG